GTGTGGGAGGGGGGGGGGGGGGGGGGGGGGGGGGGGGGGGGGGGAGGGGGGGGGGGGGGGGGGGGGGGGGGGGGAAGCCTGCTCAGGTGGGTTGATGGAGGTGGTGTCAAGCGTATGGATTTTACAATGGTGGCGATCGATTCCAATAGTGGTGGGTGGTGACACGTGATTTCAACGGTGGTGGATGGTGGAGTTTGATTCCCAAAATGGTGGGTGGTGGATCTTGATTCCAACGGTAGTGGATAGTGGCACTCGATTCCAACGATAGTGGGTGGTAGTGCTCGATGCTAGCGGTGGTGGTGGTCAACGGCTGGAGAAGGAGATAGAAAGATGGGTTGGTCGCTGGCTGGAGAAGGAGAGAGAGAGATAGGTTGGAGAAGAGAGGGGACAAGGACTAAAATGTCCAAAGTTTTGAGAGTATAATGACTAAAATGTCCCTTAATACTCTCGTGTACTTGGCACATGACATTTTTTGTTAGTCTTTTGAACGGAAGTTAGAGGTAAGGACCAAAGTGGGACAATGTGTAAACATTGATGACGAAATTGATGAAATTAGAAGTTTAGGGACAAAAGTGCAATATGTGTAAAACTTTAGGGACTATTGGTGTCTTTTACCCTATTTTNTTGATTCCAACGATAGTGGGTGGTAGTGCTCGATGCTAGCGGTGGTGGTGGTCAACGGCTGGAGAAGGACATAGAAAGATGGGTTGGTCGCTGGCTGGAGAAGGAGAGAGAGAGATAGGTTGGAGANTCTTCTTCCTTTCTCTTCTTTCTCCTCACAGACGCATAAATCCTTCTGAGTTCTTCCTTTCTCTTCTCTCTTCCTCACATAAATCCTTCTGAGTTCTCTCCATCCTCAAGCCCAGTACAAAAATCACAAATACACATCCACAACACAAACCTACAAATACATATTCACATCACAAACCCACAGTCACATACACCCACATGGATTTAGAACTGAATTTTTCAAGACCTCCATGGGCAATCAAGCCCCAATTCTTTCAAGATCAAGTTTGAATTCAAAATCAAAATCAAAACCAAAAATGAAATAAAAATCAAAGAGATTTTTAGGGGTTGAGTGATTGATAGTGAGTTAGGGGTAAACTAGAGAAAACTCTTACCGGGGGGGGGGGG